TGAGCGTTTCTCAAGATTCGGGCGATCTCGTCGAGGTCGACTCCCGAACAATATTATTAATAATAATCATTTGTCTTTTAAAATAATAAAAATACATAACACAATAATTCGCTTTATTTAAAAAAAAAGATGTCAGAAAGTAAGAATCGCACCAGCAATACGCAATGTAGTAGCCGCGCGTCTTACCCACCAAGCTATGCCGCTTAGTTGCAAATAATCTGTATTTACAATTCGGCATATAAAGACCACACAAATTTTTAAATGCATTTTTTTCGCGAATGCTTGAAAATTGAGTCATGTTACTTTACCATGGATTAGTGGGAGGATATATATATATATAATATATGTATATGTATATATATATGATTGTTACGTACACACTCGTACACATATACGTAAATAATTATACATCCACCCTGCTCCTGATTGTCGGAAATTTGCCACTTTTCGATTGTAAATTATCACTAGGTAGGATGTGCGCTTTGTAAGGATGCGAGTATTGTCCATATTGTATATATAACGGGTGATGTGACGAGTGGTACGAACGAAAACAGCTAAGACATTGTTTAGAAGAAGAGAGTTGTTGTCTAAGGAAAATAATGTGTCTTATATATGTATGGCAAATAGACGATGAGAAACTCTCACGATATTTCTCGTACTATAAAATTAACGATTTATGATGTAATAGGTGTGTTCTTCTCGCAGTAGAGGGACTGAAGGTATAATAGTTTGATAATTATTTGAGAGAGAGAGAGAGAGAGAGAGAGAGAGAGAGAGAGAGAGAGAGAGAGAGAAATACAGTTACAAAGTCACGAGATCTGCTTTGTCTTGTTATAATCAAATACTTTGTATTATGTAGCACAGGTTGTCATTAAACGTGTGAACAAACCTATATCATTAAAATCACTTCAATCAAATTGACATATATTAATCAAAATGTGTTACATCATATATTGCACCCTTGCATATCCTTGTGTACTCGCTGTAAGTAGGAGCGATATAAAAATTTTCTTGCAAGTTATCTTTCGCGAAAATATTTTATACGGGAAGACGCGTTATATATAATATTTCTCGCAACTTTGTAATTAAATATCTCTACAATTAAGCCTCGAACGAAACTTGCGACTAAGTGAAAAAAAAACAAGATTCTTGCAAATACTTTTTAATTTGCTACGTTAAAAATACTTGGAATTGGATGAAACAAGATATTATAAAAGTTGTGTCTCGTGAATGATTTTCCCAGATTTCTCGCCATCACTGATGCGCCGCAATCGTTTTTCTGCCGTTCATCTTTAATTGATTTATATTCCCTTTTTTATCGTTAAATGCATTCTCCTGCGCTTCGTCGGAATCAATCTCCACGATCGATTGCCATGGAATCGGATTTACATACGCTGGCTTAGCTTTCTGATGGGCTATAAAATAACAGGTCGGTTTGCTTCAGAATGTATTTTATTTGAGAAAGTCGCGGAGCAATGTAAATATATACATATTTCGTACGTTTGTAAAATAATAACATTAAAATAATAGTGAGAGAGATAAAAAAATGTAAATATAATATTTAAGGATAATACATATAGAATATTTTTTATACGTTGCGCCTGAGATAGCTTCGTCATTATTATATACAGCTATAACACGAGCAACGCAATCTGAACAAATTAATTTCGACATTTTCCGTTATATATAAAAGGGATGGATATATATATATATATATATATATATATCCATCCCTTTTTTACGTAACGGAAAATGTCGAAATTAATTTGTTCAGATTGCGTTGCTCGTGTTATAGCTGTATATAATAATGACGAAGCTATCTCAGGCGCAACGTATAAAAAATATTCTATATGTATTATCCTTAAATATTATATTTACATTTTTTTATCTCTCTCACTATTATTTTAATGTTATTATTTTACAAACGTACGAAGCAGTCCTTGTGTAGCGGGTTTGGGTTTATTCCTGGAGTTCTCTCTCCATTTCTCGTAAGCTTTCGAGCTTAGCTCCAGGCGCCTCTCGCGTTCCTCGATCATCTTCCTCTGTCTCATCTCCTGCTCCTTATGCCGAGCTGCAAAACAAGGCAATCAACCCTTATCGCGCGTCGAAGACTCGAACGAGTTCGACTAAGGTCCGCGGAAAGTTATCGCCATACTCTTTTGCTCCTCCTTCTTCTTCTGAATCCACTGACGAAGGTACAAGGCCTTCGCGACGGCTGCCTTATCCTCGATCTCCTTCAGACGTCTTTGCAATTCCAATTCGTTCTCGAGGATAGCTTTCCTCTCGAGCTCCTGCTGCCTCTTCCTCTCCACCCACTTGAGAAAGTTTTCCTTTTCAAGCTGCGCCCTTGCCTCCTTTTCTCGCACCATCCTCTCTTCCTCCTCTTGTCGCTTTTTTGCCGCGCGTTCCTCCTCCTCTTTCTTGCGTTGCGTGGCCTCGTCCTTCCTACGAATCCATTCCGAATGACCAATTCTCTTGCCAAGATCGGCGCCGTTCGACACCTGATAATCGCTGATGCTCGGACCGGTCGAGAGCGATGTCATGGAAATTCGCACGACTTGGCGATTGTCCGGGCGATTTTCGCGATATCTGCGATATATTATAATTTTTTTTACATACACATCTTGGCGAGATTCTTAATATAATATAAAGTGCAATGTAATAAAGGACGAACTTGTCTTGTTTTATCGCTTCATTCTGACCGACGTTCGTTGAAACGCTGCTGATCTTGCATCGTCGTTCTATTTGCGCGGTTCTCCCGGATGATTGATCCATGGACCGAACGGTGGACGGTTCGGAAAACAATGTAGTATCTGATAAGGATGTTGAATAACACCTGTAGGTACTCCGTCCTGTGCCGTCTTGTACCGGATGTTCGATTGCATGATCGACGTTTGTTGCATCCTTCGTGGACGGCAGATCCATCGTCGAAGGCTCGGAATCATTGTGATACGCGTCGATTACGTGTCCGTTACAATATCCTGAGAAAATAAATTGCAAAGTATTAATAGAAATTCATATAGTAAAATTGCACACAAATTTTTACAGTAAAAAAATATATATGTCTAGAATATATATTTTATTAATTATAAATTATGCTAAAAAATGCGTGTGTGCATTTTAAGTAAGATTTCAATTTTACGACTGTGCTAATTTTTTTTATTATCTATTTGATTCAATTAGAGATTAGTTTCATTTAATTTTTTCTTAATTTCCAAATTTATATATATGGAAAAAATTGAATTAAACAAAAATAGAAAAAATTATCCAGAAATTTTTTAATTATTTTTTTATTGCTAATTTTATATGTTGGATGTGTAATATGATGAAAATGAATTTCCTTTGATACTAATCTATGTATGTTTTACTATGTATATCTTTCTACTCACGATCGTTCTCTGGTCTATGAATCTGCGCCATGTCGTCGTGCTCCTCTTCGCCGATAGACTCCGTATAAATGGCAGGATTGATGTACCGAATCTCGGGAACGGAACTCGAGTTTTTAATTGCATCTTCGCGGGTTCTATCGTAATTCGCGCGACGATCGACGAGAGTATTCCTCCTTTGATCGGATTCCGTTTTCCAGCTGTCAATGTCACTGTCATTGACCATTGTTGTACGCTTTTTCACCGTAACTGATTGATATCGACAATCAGTTATTGCGTTCGACATGACGCATAATCATTGCTGTAACGTTTTGTCGCACGATTTGTTAATGTAGATATTCTTACAAAAATGTTATTACATACAAATAATCGTTTACGTGCGAAAATTCATCCATGATGAATCCGATGTTGTACTTTTTGAAGAACAATAGCGAATCCTTTAAGGGGCGTGTTGAGTGTGCGTGTTTGGGGATGTTGAAGTTTGATATAAATTCTTCTTTTTATACATCACAACGAATATTAATATAAATAGGAAACTTTTTAAAAATTTTATTCAATAATTATGTATCTCTTTTAACATATATAGTCTGAGATTATATTATCCGGTCTTATTTTTTAATCAGATATTTCAAATAATTATTTGAATTATAATTATTATAATTTCAACGCGTAAAAATTAGTGCAATAAAATTTCAATAAATTTTCCTTTTTAAAGGAAAGTGTAATCGTTTAAAACTACATTTTGTAATATTATCTTTATGGAAAGATTTCAAAATGAAAAAATTCCAATCATAATATAATGACGGAATGTAAGGTGGGTTTCTAGATAAAGGAGTTTAAAATCAGATGAGAAAGGTAGCAAATAATAATGTCAAAAGTTTAATTTTCAATTTTTTCTGCAATTTATTTTTTAAAATATCCTAGTATTTCCTGCTCTTGTATTGTGATATCCATCGAGATCTGCGTAGTTTTTTCTCTTTACTACGCAAATAATATTATACAATTTATACATACTTCTACTCATCCTGCTTAAAGTTATGTCTTATATAAACATTGATATCATTGTACTTTCGATCAGTTAAAATTAATAATCATATAATGAATGGTTTGATGAAATTTACATGTATGATCCATGATAAATCCTTTGGACGAAATGATATCTTGCTACTTCGTTTTTGTACAAGTTTTCTCCTTTAACTCCCAACAAGATTCCCAAAACTGTTTCAGTCTATTGTCTCCATTGGAACAGAAATGTCGAAAATCTTGTATTATTTTCTTCTGAAATAATTCGTCACCCGCCGAAGTGGACAATGATTTCCATTTTCGACTGACCATATGATTCCACGACCACAAAAAGCCCATCTGCAATCAATAAGTAATATTTTACGCCCAATTTTTCAAAGGACATATAATTGAAACATTTTGCATTGTAATGTGTGAATGAACATACATTCATAGAATATTTTTCTTTTGTAGATCAGAAAGGATTCTTATCACTCACCTTTCGATCCATGCTATGATCATCCTTATTCTTCCCACTAACGTGTCTGGTAATATACGCTTCATGCGGACTCGGCTGGTCCGGATGAACTGGGTATCTTTTCTGTCCCGTATTCCGTCGCACAATATTGGTACCGGTTCGTGGACGCGGCCGAGTATTCGCAGTGGATGGCACTAATATAAACGCATTGCCCGTGAGGTGAACATACTGACGATCATTTTCAATGTTTTCAACTAAGCACGGCACAAAGCCGAATCGCTGCAGAATTGCTTCTTGGAATAGAAACAATCTTTGCGCGTATGTATCTTCTCGGAATTCTATATAAATATGAGCATTTTTGTTATTGTTATCAAATTAGATTCAAAATCAAAATTTATATTAACTAAACATTAGTTGGAACAAACCTTCAAAGAGGTATCGCTTATTCGCCATCAAGCATTCCGTGTCGAGGGGTATAAAAATAGGCCCTCTAAGAGGATCGCTTTTCAAAGTATACGGTAGCGCTAATAAATCACTGGGAATGGGCACCATCTGTATTCCACACATTTGAGCTTTGCGTTGCCAAAGAAATATCTTGCGAAGAGAAATCGATATTATTAGTATACAATTTGATATTTGCCTCGTCTTGTAATCAAGAAGACGAAGAGGGAAGAAACAGGCAAACTTTTACTTACTAGATCAGCTACTATACTGCCGGATGATGCTACCCATTGTACCACGAGTTCATAGGAATGATCTACCTTGTATATGGATTGATACCTTAGGTGGCCCCACTCGATTCTGTCACTTTTATTATTTATGTCGATATCAAGATGAGTGTGTTTATATAACGGCACTGAAACAAAACAAATATTTTGTATAGAGCGATTAGCTTTATACTGTCCGTGTGAATATCTTGACGAGAGATTGATTATATATAGTTTGACCGCTAGATCTAATCTAAGATTATTTATTCTTCTTGAAAACTAAAGATTAACTATGTTCTCATATTGTAGGACAACATGCGCGACATTCGTATGAAAAATACGCGTATAATCAATTTTCCATGTGGTATTCTCACCTGTTCTATCGTCTAACGATTCCGTCAAATTGATGTCGTCTCTCAGAAAAGGCGGGACATCCGATTCGTCAATAGCGTCGCAATTGGGTATAGTTATGGGAGATGACATCGTCGACGAGGTTGTTGAAGATGTTGGTTCGCACCATCCTTTCGGTGGTCTCATTTCCACTTCCACCCACTCATTCTCGAAACCTTGTAGATCACCGAGCGGAGCGGAATAATCTGCGGCTGCAAATAAAAAATGCAAAGTTGAATCGCGAATCAAAAGTAAAAAAAGCTGACAATGCGCTGATTATGTCACTTACCTTTTTGATTTTCTTTATCTTGCACAATGTGATATAAATAAAATCCTAAGACAAATGGTTGCGAGAAATCGCCGGATGCATGGCATATCAATTTGTCTTGAATCATCCCCTGCATAAAGATAAATTATTAATTTAATCTTATCAGCACAATGACGCTTTAATTAAATCTTTTTTTTCTCTTCAAAAGCAAGTCTCTTTGTCTCTTTGTCATCTTTATGAACAGAATCCCATGTGTAAAGAAACTGACATAATTCTTGGTGCAAAAAGGTAAATCTCTTTCTTATTTCGATATCTTACATTTCAAGTTGAAAGTAAAAATATTAACAATATTAAATTTTGCAGATTATACTGAATAGATGAAAAAAGTTCCCGAGTCTCTACCTTCATGATATTGATACCCTGCTCGACCCCCATGCCACCTTCCATATGATTATTTAACCATTGAATCGCGTCAGCGCTAACAAACGTTTGGCTCGGGAGTGAGGGATGTTGCGTCAAGAAACCGACGCCAGTTTGAGGATGCTTCATGACCTCCAAAATTTCCAGGTTTGTTGCATTGCTTTTTATCTTGGTCAGCTCCATGTTCGTACTGTGAAGCAGACAGATGTACAATTAAATATCTGTGGTTTATAGCATTAGAAGAGTCGAAGCATGTGTCCAGAAAATTGCTCATCTTCGAACAAGATGAGATTAATACAGATATAATTAATACGATTTTAACATCAAATGATTCATGATTTTATCCTATATATTATGCATAATTTTATTTAAAAAAAAGAAGAAAAAATTCAATCTAGACAAATGACGCATTCAATCGTTCGAATGTTAATTATTACAATGCTTTTCGTACTTGTCATCATTAGTGTCGAAATGATCCTGTTGTTGTTGCTCGAGCGACAACGGCAAAACAGCTTCACTCGCAGGCGATACACGTCCTCTATCCATTACTTTAGAGCCGGATCTAAATCATCCATGACAGAGAAAAGCATTTATTTAAATGATCGTACCAGCATAGAAAGAAGAAGCGGCATTTATGAAGCGACTTGTGTTATCGGTATCTAAGACAAGCGAACATATGTTCTTTTTGTCCACACACCTTATGTTACTTCATAGCACATTAGGTAAAAATTAGACGAAAAACAATATCGCGCTTTTCTCTCGCAAAGTGATGTTATTCTATTTTGGTTCATTTATATAAAAAAATTTTACAAAATTATCAAGAACAAGACATATACATCCGTCTCACCGAGTGTTCTTTCAGTCACAGACAAATGCAACTTTACATTTTCTGAGAAACAAAGAGAAGGAGAATAAAAAAATAAAATAAAAAGAGAAAATTTCATCGATAAGTCGCTTTTTATGGCAATTTTTTAAAAATATTTTTTTGCTAAGATTCTTAATAATAAAATCTTAATAACTAAAAGAACATGAGTTTTTTACTCGACATGCATTAGATATTATTCGTTGTGATTTATATATACAGGACGTGTGACTAAAAGAATACTCAATAAAATAAGGCCGAGAGAGACTGTCCATCTATATATACATATTCCAAGACCTCTGGATATCCTTTTATAGCAAATTTTCTGATCAATTTTTGGAGTCAGCTTTTTCTTAGCGAATATATCGAAGGAGATTGTCATTTTTTGCAAGTTTCCAATTTTTCTCATCATATATTTTGGTAACTAAACTTCAAATTAAAGTTCTATCAAAGTAAACTCCACCTAAAATTAAGTAAAAAAATGTAGTTTTGCCAATCTTTTAACTTTTACAAAATATAGTTTGCGAGAAGCTCTTTTTCAATCGCTTATAACTCAAATATTATTGATGCTTCGTTTTTTTTTGCTAAGGAAAAATCATCTTCAAATCGGCCATAGAATCTAGTAATAAAAGGAAATTCCATGGTCTGCAGATTTATATACATATATATTAAATATTTCCGCGAAAATAAAACGCGTGCATTCTCCAGTAACTTATTACTTTTAATTTGAATCGAAAGAAATAAGAGAGTGAGAACCAACCTGTTTGGCACGTGGCGAGGAGTGTCGAGGCACGTGCGGGCAGCCGCAGCAGTATTCACTACATGCCTCTCCTGTACAGAGGAGAGTATAAAACCCCGTCACTCGCTCACTCACTACCAAAATTTTCTACGGGGCGCGGAGCATAGGTACACACATATAAATATGCCGTTAAATTTTAACTTTACGTTCTTCAAGCTTTTTAATTCGGCGCACGTTGTACGTATGCTCCACCCAGGCATATCGGATGGGAAATAAACAGAAAAAATGAAAGAAGCTGAAAGATACAGAAACTATATATGCTACAAGAGTCCTCGCGTCAATTCTTTTCTCATTCTCCTTTTAATGCTAATCTTACTGCTTCACAACGAGATATATTTAATCGAGAGATATCGCGACGCTAGATGTTATTCAATCAGATAACGTTATTAAAAGATGAGCACGTGAGTAAAAAGTGCGAAGGAAGAAAAATTTATTACGTATTCGAAGCGTTACGTTCCCTATATACCGTGCAGCGAGATATATGTTGCAATATACAAAGATGCTCGAGTATATTTTTTATCAACACTCTTCGCAAAATAAAACACATGCACGATAACAGTGGAGTGAACAATCAATCAATATCGCACGCAATGCGCTTATATCAAAGATATACTGCAATTGCACCCTTTTTAGCTGCGCTTGAGAATCTTAGCCAGATTATTCATCTATCACCAAAAGTGTTAAACTGAAAAGAAAATTTAATACATACACATACACACATATTAAAAAACAATAAAGCGTCAAAGAATGGTTAATTGATCCTTGTGTTAATGCTTTATATTTTCATCGCGAGTTTAACGTTGAACGTCGATCTATTTTCTTTACAAAATATTTAAATATAATTTCATATATATTAGATATAAATAAGTTGTATTTCATCATTAAATGTGTGAAAATATAAAGCATTGTAAGATAACACATGTTTCGTAAAATTGAGTCAATTAAATACATTATGATGCAAGTGCCGCGTTTCACAATGCAATGTTCAACATTAAAAATGTACTTATAAGGCATTAAAATCATTATAAATTGCATTATTCACAATACAAAAATATCATAGTTATCGTGATACTACTGTATTGTACAAGCGATATCTCCAACACATCTGCAATATATAATATGTGTATGAATTAAGCGGAAATAAAATACAAAACCATCAAACACTGATTTAGAATAGTCCACTGAAAAAAAAAGAAGGAGTCGGCAAAACTACAAACGTTAAAGATTGCAGATATAAAGCAACAATGTTGAAATCATCAAGGTAGATATGTTCAAACCTTGGTCTCGGTTTCTCCGGCAGACGGTTGCTTCCAAGTCGCTCCCTGAAAGGAGAGCTGCCGACTAGACTGGTCTGGAAAGTATGATGACATGTATGGGTAATATAATTTGTGAATGGTAATGATTAAGCTGAGATGATCGTGAGAATGTATATCTGTATCTAACTGTATAATGCGATGTTCAACATTAAGAAATGTTCTCGTAGTCGTGAAGGCATTAGATATCGTATATGTATTATATATATATATATAACAAGAGAAAAGTGAAAATCAAACATTGTAACATTTCACGCATAACGGGATAAGCTCGCTAAAATCATAGATGCACATTCAATGCAAAAATATCAAGCACGATCACAGTTATCGTGATATATATAGTGTAAGCTGCTTGATCATTCCAAGTAACACGTATCAAAGAAGCGATTCTATCGAAATTCGAATACATCTAGCGATGTCTTGAAGATGGGGTAAAATTGCACCAGGAATCATTCCACGAAGAAAAACACATAAAGAGAGAGAGAAAGAGAAAAAGAGAAAGAGAACAATAAAAAGTTTTAAAATTAGTATTTAAAAAAGATCCGGAATATTTCAATTAATTTTACACGACAGAGACAGGGAGAATTTGTTCCACGGAATCTTCAAAAATTTTCTATTATTATCTTTTTCTATTATTTTGCAAAATATCCTGCTGCAACTTTACTCCATAATATTCAAAATTGGGAATCGATGTTACTATATACGATAATGTACATCGAATTGAAGGAGAATTTTTCAAAGAAATTTTTTTATCGTCCTGCTCGCTAATTAACTTCATCGGAAGCTCGCTTAGAGAGAATTTTAAACGAGAGCAGCTGGACTCTATGTATCGAGGCTACAGGAGGGGAGGATGTACCTGGTTAGTGAGGAATATCAGGCTCGTGCTGTGCCTGCGTCTGGTCAAATGAGAGGCAGGATCTCTTGGGGGGACACCACCTAGAGCTGTGGGGCTCTGAAACATATCATGCTGAATACCCCTCCCTATACAAACATTCCAGCTACAAGTCTCTACTTATCGCATATGTAGATATCAAATTTATAGACTTATTATTCTTTTTTAATAATGCGCGGATCTATTTATTGTCGTTGTTTGTGAGCTTTGTAATCTCAATCTGCCAACATATGTGTCTCTCATAGATACTTTGATATGTATATTTCGGAACGATCGTACGTATAATACAGAGGTATATAAATATTATACTGTTAAGTAATAAATTAATACTGTTGAATGTTGCTATTGTATATATGTTATACGGTCGATGTTAACGCAAAGTGTCAAACGAAGCTTCATAAAAAGCCGTGCATTCTCTTTTAGTTTTCTAATTTTCTGTTTTAATGTTTTATATATAAATTTTTCAGCATGTTATACAGCATGTCGCGTTGTCTTTATCTACAGACAATTCTTAAAATTAGTTTGATAGATCATTGTTTTACTAATAAGATTATATGTTTTATGCTATAATAGATATGCTGACAAAGATTGCATAATTCAAAAGTTAATAAAATGTAAATATATAAAATTAACAAAAGCATTAAAATAAATCTGCGTAAATCAATTAAATGTGAGCATGCAACATTCAAATATAATATAAAGAGGAGATATTCCAGAAAAAAAAATTGCCCCTTAAGAATCATATTTTATGTTCTGTATATAAAATAATTTATGTTCTGTGATCTTAATATCCGTCCGTTTTTATATATATAAAAATATTAAAAAAAACTTAAATAGAATAACTCCTCCAACGAAATAATATTATATAACAAAAACTATCAAGCAATTTTAAATAATATTACGTTGCAGATAGAGAATAAAATAACTGCAATTAAAGTATCTATAAATATAACAGGACATTCCAAAAAGATTTATATCAGCAGCAAATTTTTCTGTATCTTATGCAACGACAAAAATTTAATATGAAAGTTAATCGAATAAGTCGAAGATTGAGAAATCCGTTAATAAAAAAGTGGATGCAAATTTTTTCCAGAATAAGATTATGCTAATGTAATTAATTTTTAGAACGTCTCTTTTATGTATGATTTGTTACAGTTAAATTATTATACAATTATAATTCTTATTGGAATAATTAATAATTCAGGATTCTCTCATTAACTTCATCTTTATATACACCTACCGAAAATTAGAGATGGAGAAATTTACCAAGTTTTTGTTGGGGTTCGGCCGTCGTATCTTGTTCAGCCATCCTTCGATGAAGCGCAAAAATCCATCCATCAATGACGCTTGCTCGATATTACTGGGTGGAGCGTATATGTCGCATCTTAAAGAACCCTCCAGAATTTTGCGAGTTGAAGGATTGTGTAATGGTAATAGAAATACCCGAAATCTCCAATATTTAAGAGCCTTAAAAATAAAATATACCAATATTAATGCCATTTTTCATTTTAGATATGCGAAATGAAATTGAATCTGATCGGATCTTGAATCTCCTCTGCAAGCCTACTCACTTCTACCAAGGCAAAATCAGTGTGGCCTCGTGTGCAAATGTAATGATCCAGATAGTTCCAATTGTATGTTTCGAGTTTCTCCGTGGTGAAAGACACCCACGACACCTCGTACGTGTCGTGATGCGGTGCATGGAATCGGTATCGGTAGTGAATATTGAAGGGTGGATAAGGATGTCTATAAAATGTAAGTATTGCTACAGCTAACTATTTCTTGTTTGAATGTAGTTTAACTGATTGCACTGGAAAACAATTGATCATAATAACATATATTATTTAACAATTCCTTATTATATGTTAAGATAATACAAGTTTTATATTTTATTTCATATAGCATCAACGGTACTAGTAAAAATTTTTTTAAAGATCTCCGAAAATTTTATACACAAGAAAATATAATAAAGTAATAAAATTTTTTTCAGTAAAATTGTTTCTTACTATTGTGTACAATTAAGGAAAACTAAAATATGAGAGTCAAGTGCGCAAATACATCCATTGATCTCCAGTGTAATGAGTTTGCTGAAACATTTTAACATTTAATTGATAAAAATAGTTACCGTGGTCGATATCTCGTAATCGTTATAGAATTATCAAATAAAGATATTTTATGAAAAATTCTTCCAATGCTAAGCAGATATTCTTCTTTAGGCTCGGACTCGGTCTGTCTGCCGCGTATCACAGTACTAATCGCGGCAGCAGCATTGCTACCAGTCGCGTTGCTTTGATTCTTATTTATCGACGGTAAAATAATTAGCTGAAAACCCTTAAAATAACATAATACTTGTATGATTAATCTTAGACACATAAATAAATCATATATATATATATATATATATATATATATATGTTTTATATGTTCATAGAATAATTTATAAAAATAAAAAATAATTTCGCGATATCTATAATCTATTTTTTTCGCGATGTATATTAATAATAAGAAAAAAAAACCTTACTTTTAGTTTCCTAAAATAATTTAAAGCGAATCTTTGTGTGATACCTAAGAATTATTAGGACATATCACAAACTGATCCATGACATGTTGTGTAAGGACTCGATAGTACAACGTAGCTCTGTTCGAGGCGGCTTACTTTCTCGTCGAGACTTGTCTCGAATAATCATTCGGCAGTAGGCGACCCCTTACGAGTTATTATACATTTGGCATTAAAAGTACAGTTATTATATATGCGTAGGTATAAATTTTCGAGTGTGTATCCTGTGAATGGCGCGCTCGTGTTCTTCTCATATATATATATATATATATATATATATATATTTGTTATATCAATTTAATGCTAAATTTATACTTGAGCCAAGCGTTGTGAAACCAGCTCTTTAAACACTTCCACAGTTGTGAGTGGTTTTTTGTATATTGCTCGTTGTTGAGCAAAATCAACGTTGACATCGTCCGGTAAAAGATTATAATCCGATACGACGTAATCATTTTGCAAACTTCGCTTGTCCGGAAAATAATCTGTAGTAATGGGTAGGCATGCTGAGATTGTTAAAGATTTCCAGTCGACTCCTGTTCGAATAAGATTTAAAAATAATCAAAATGATTATTAAAGAAACGTCATACTATATCTGTGCAAGAAGAAACAGATAAATTTTCGAATTTAAATCTTTGTTCACAGTTATATAAAAAATATGTCTGTATAATCTTAAGATTGATACCTGTTTCTAATTTTATATTCAAGAATATTCCTTTTGTTCCTTTTTTTATATTTATCTTCACTCAATATCTATTTCTTCCTTTTAGATGCAAAGAATAGACACTCGATAAGATATCGCATGTTTGGAATAAATTAAAGTTATAGAAATCGAAGCAGTAGATGAAATTATTTCATATTTTGGTACTATATATTAAATAATTGTTTTAACAGGAATAAAAAATACAATATGATTTTTTTCTAGACAATACGTTTTCAGTTTTGAGTATGTGATCAGCAGAGATTCTCAGAGAAGCGTTAAATTATCGAGAATCTGTTGCATCACCGATTTGATGTCCCTTTACCAATAGAAAAATGTTTTTTACCTTTCGGTAAATGTTTTTTACCTTTCGGTAATGTTAAACTACTAATGTGTCAATTATACAGAATGATCTACTAATATGGTATATATTAACACAGCAGTGTTATAAAAAAAAAGAAAAGTCTTACAACTAATAAAGTTATTTACTTTAATAGAAATTTAAATTTAGAAACATTGATTATTTTATGAAATTTATATATATAAAGTACATATAAAGAAATTGTATATTTACTATTATATATGTATAATCGTAAATATATTTAGAAATTTTCTAAACTTTCTATATGCAGTCTGTACATTTAATTTAATCTTTATCATATTTAAAAATTATTTTAACTCTGTATTAAGAAAGTGGATTACTACAAAAGACACATTACTATGTGCCCATTGTAACAATATTTTAAGTGTTAAGTGCATCATATATGTATGCATATAACATATTATGATTTGTAAATGATAAAGATTAAAAGTCTCTTCCTAAACGCATGCTATTTGACAATTATTAGTTATATAATGTGTTTCTAACACATCTTCTATCAAGAATATGTCAATTTGTGTTATTGAGTCATGTGAAGTGTAAAGCAAAAATCTAATAAATCTAAAATAGATGTGCATTATTTTATCCTTACGCTTTGGTGCAATAAAGTTACTCGATTAGATCTACAGAAAAGAGAGAATATAATGTAATAAGCCTTATATATAAACAACTACATATCGTATATAGATGTACTATAAAAATTCAAAATATGTAACATAAATATAAAAAACCGAGATTACTATTGTAACACAATCTGTTAGAGAGAAAGTGAGAAGAGACACATAAATTGATACAAGTAACTATATTAGTAATGCAAAAAATGTAAGCTTTACGCGCGAAATAACATAGATCTAATTAACGAAAACAGTGATAGAGCAATTTGTGAAATGTTTAGCAAAGAATATATAAGCAACAAACTTACACAATAGATGGAAACTAGAAGCTGTCTACGATAAAGCCTACATTATGCTTTAATAAAAAGCAAACTTAAAAGAACAGATTAAAAATATCTTAAATATGTGTTTTATATTTTAATATAAAAAAAATTACATAAAATTCTGGAAATATTTGCTGTATATATTATACATGCAATTCTCAAATACGTAAACAAACACATATAGCAAAGAAATGACGAAGAATTATTAAATAGCGATGCTCCTACTTTGAACTAATGTCCTTACTATAGATAAACAAATGTATACCGTAACCGGATCAATCCCTAATAGAGTATGGCGCTAACCTATGATTGCTGTAAAACAGCATAAGTGACATCATAGTTGTACATCACACATGTATCAATGCGTCCAGCGTTGCATCCCAATTAGACGTACCATAGCATGGAAATAAATGTAATAACATTATTCGTATTGATGATTAATGGTGTTGTAAAAATAAATATTGATATTTTTAAGAATGAAAATATTTTTTTGTAAAATCTTCTCTCTTTTATAGCTATATTAAATACAAATATTTGGATGTGTGATTATCTTTTTATATAGAGATATAACTTTCTAAGAGTATACTTGCAAGATTGTGTGATGTTTATAAGAAAAGCTCTATAAAAATAGTTATTTTATTTAAATAAAAAATAAATGCAAAATTAAATAAATGAAATAAGTAAAATAAACAAGTAAAAATTATAAAAACGAAATGCACTATCAGAGTAGTCCATACCAAGTTTTATGAATGCAATAATTGATGATATTCTATAATGTCTTAAAGATGCAGTTTTCAAGTATTTTCATTCTTTTTTAAATGTCATAAATTATAATAGCCCATTAATTTCTTTGGTACTGTCATACTTTCCATATTTAACATATAAATATAGTACAATTAGTATTATTTATAAAGGAAAAAATATTTGTAAACAGGAGTAAATTTGTACTGATTACACAAAACTATGCCCTTCTCTTCGCGCCGACTTCTTATTTAAAGGTAATGTGATATACATTACATATGAGAGGAATAATATTTATATTTATATGTAAATATTATATTTGTAATATAAAGCACACGAGAAGAGGAAAAGAATTAATTTTGATTATTCAGAACTACATTATAATCTGAAGCTAAAACCACAGGACCACTCCTGTTTATAATATTAACGTTTATGTTACTTAAATTATATAAAAAACTGACAATGAGTAAATTGTGATTAACAAGCACAATATGCACAAGAAGCATTATACAACTTATGGATATTGGAATTGTATGTTATGTGTAATGTAAATAATCTGCTATTCAACCAAGTATTAATTTTTAAATTTTGGATTATTTAAAAATTCTCTCTTTTAAGCTGTAAACTTGAAATAACCACAGTAAGTCGATAACTTTGTTGCATTTTTAGAATCTATAATATATTATAGAATATAATTAAATTTTATTATATATACAGGATAAGACACCTAAGAATGCACACTTGAATACCTTGTAAATTATACATTGTATATAGTAATTTTTCATATAATGCATAATTTAAAAGTTATTCAAGGTGTACAAGTTAGGTGCCTTTTATCCTATATATAAATTGTTGTTTCTAAAATTATTAACCTGTAATAGAAAAAGTTATTACATAATACAAGAGCAGTTCAAGCAATTTAAAACATGTGCGCGTATATGTGTATGTATGTATTATAACTTTATCTATTATGATTTAATAATTTTAAAACAAACATTTCAAAATAAATGTTTGGATGTATCATAATGATATCTTTCTAATATGTGTGTGTCTAACATTTTCTGCAAAATATTATACATAGATAAATTTTCAGATAGTTATTAAAAATACATTGGAAGCAAACCTGTTGTTAGCGCGGGCGTCCACTCTTGCTCACCAGTGGCACCCCACAAGAGGGTCAGACTTTTGTTCATCATAACGGAAGGGGGATTTGCAGCTTTGTCTCCATTAGCTATAGAAGAATTAGATCGCAGTGGTTTTCCTTTTGTACCTGTAAAAATATAAATTTTATCATTTATTATATCTTATATTTTTATATATATCTTAAAAACGCGTTAATTTAACATGATATTGAATACTAACAATCTTGCAACCCTATTTGGGACGCTGATCTTGAAATCTGATTTGAATTGTTTATCCCAATCTCCATCGGGGATCCGCTCATAGTTGATGGAATAGTTTCACTTTGTGATTCTGAACATGTCTGTGTTGGAACAGCTTGATAATGATGTTGTTGTATTAGTACTCCTGTTGGTCCTACAATTATATCAATATAATTTTGATTGATTGTACAAATCTATAAAATTGCAATCGATTGTGATTGAATTTATTTATGAACAACATTGGTAATTTACAATCAAAACAATGTGAGAAAAGTTAATTATAAATTTACCAAGATATTATATAAATTATCGATATAAAACAAAATTATTTACCTTTTGGAAATATGTGAGTCCATCTCCGTCTATTACTAGTAAGCTTAATGGTAACGTGTGATGGATCAAAAGGGTTGATTAGTGCTCTAGTAGGCCTGAGTATATTTGCCGGTTGAGAAATTGAGTTTGTTGGGCTACCAGCGCTACCAACAACAGGTCTAAAGGGCGGAGATATCTCTGGATCTGTTAAATCGTTCTTAACCGGTGTCCTGGATGCGCCTAATGCAGTTATTACAATTATTTAATAAAAATTATAGTTTTAATAGTGCAAAAATTTATATTATATATATGTGTGTGCTTACCAATTTTGTCCTCATTAGATTCGTTATTATCGTCATCCGTTTTATGTGGTATCGTTATTGCCGCACTTCGTAATGCAACAACTGGTGGTGAATGCGTCTCAGGTGGAGGATGATGTATGTCGGGATCTGACATTTTACGTTTCAAGAGTTTTAACAAATGGCCGTTGTTGTGTGTTTCGAGGCACGCCACACTTGTCTTTTTCGTTCTTGTAGTTATTCTTTGTACACTATAACAAAAAATAATAATATATAAATAAATTTACCTTGAAGTAGTAACAATTGGCAATTGGAACACTTGTGCATCATAAGCATCATAATCGAATAAGGTATTATGCAGACATTCTCTTGGATCTTCTTGTAGAAGTCTGGCTTTGCAGTGCAATTTTTCATTATCCGCTGGATGCTTTGATACTTTCTGTGGCAATTTTATTCTTGGTATAAACGTAGAATGGGGAATCTTTTTATTTGTGGAATAAAAACTAAGATTTATCCAGTGTGGCATACTATAGTCATCTGGTGCATTTGTAGAGGAATCTTTATTATGAAACTAAAATCAAATATTTTGCCCATTATTTTAGCATGTAATAAATTATATATGTACATATATCTGTGTACTTACCTTTAATAGGGGAACTGCATGTAGTGGTTGCTCCCCGACACACACCAAGTCACTGCCTACACCATTGTCAATGATTCTTTGCTTTGTTACATTTGTTAGTTCTCTGTCAACCTCAAAAACTCCAACTCCAGGTGTAATTACTACAGATAATTGACCAGTTCTATCAAAACTGCGATCCAAATAATGTTTTTCAAAAACTGTAAAAATATAATGGCAAAAAATCAAATGGATAAGTAAGTAAATTAATATAATATTGATATAAACAAAATTAATTAATATAATTTCTTCATCATTTCTCACTTAATACTTACCATTTAGAGACATATTTAACACTTCCAGAAAATTGCCTTGTGCAGCAGTGGAATTTATTGCCTTAGGCATATTAATACCTGGCTTTTGATGATATTCCAAAACAATCTTTTGATAGTCAGTAAATAGTTTACGCAATTGTACCAGGATATTACTCCAATCCTCAAACCTTTCATTTTGTACTGCAACCCTGTAAAAATCTTCATAGAATCTTCCTCTGTAATCATGTTGCAAACACTCTCTCATGTGATTTGGAAATTCCTCCAAGCTAGTTGCGTTATAGAAAGTTCTCGAAAAGAGTACAATTGTAACTTCATGATTGCTGCTATTCTTTTTCCATTTTTGGAACAGATCTGCCAAGAATCCATTTACCGCCTTCTCAAAGTAAAGATCTCCATGTATATCAAAATCCCACATTTCGGAACTCATTTGAATAAACAGATATACCATACTTGTAGAAGATCGAAACACTACCTGGAAATCACATTTGCTTTTATAATAGAGTTTGATATAGCTTAATATAGTAAGTATTACAGCTTTGGACATACCTTAGTATCATCAGTTATAACGCCACAAGCAACACGATCACCCTGTGACCACATTTCGTATACTTGGCATCGTATACTGCCGCCACAGAATTCTATCTTTTTATTGATATAAACACAAGTCTTTACCTAGAATAAACATAAAACACATTTATGTACATTTATATGGATATACATATACCAATATACATATATCAAAAATACCAATTACAAATGTACAACAAAGAATACAATATGTACCAAGCTGTTTTTCAGACGCCACATCTCGCTGCGTCCCATGTACTGGTCTTTAAAAGTCAATTCTATGGAATCTAGAGCTACATCGTCCGGATTTACTATGTTCATATATACATCAGCAAATGTTCTTAATTGAAACATTGATGCTACGTTATTCTCCACACTGATAGTCTCACGTCCTTGTAGATCCTCCTTAAAGGATGTAACTTGCAACAGTAAGCGACTGAATTCATCGTCAGGATGATAGATTTCGACGACATCGCCGGTTTTTATACCAGGGTAGTCCTTCGGGTTGATTATCAAATCTTCGCCACTAAAATTCTTCTGATGTACTATTAGTTTAAAGAGCTTCATACTTTATCCGGCATTCTGTATTCTGATCCGTACAGTTAAGTTGAAGGCTTTTGTGTTTTCATTACAACCGTATTGAATTATGACGTCAAAAGCGAGAAATCACGCTTTTTTTTTTCTTGCGAACTGAATTATTTTCTTGTAATGTAATATCACTATCATTCTTTTGTATCTGTGTGTGTGTAAATGCTTCGAATCCTTTGTCCCGATTGGTTAATCAAAGAAGTACATCAAAACATTTGTAACGTCAAGTGAACTACACTTTGTGTTTAGAGTAGAGAAAGCAGTAAAGGATAAAGAACGCGATGACAATTTTCATTCCGCGCATGTGCCAAAATTAAAATTAAATTGTGTCTCGGCGCTATTTATGCGTTTTTATCGGGACTTTAACAAAGGGAAATAATACAGTATTAATTATTTACTTTTTAATTATCAAGTGAATATTTTTTTAGTTACGCTTCATATGAATAAATGCACCTTTGCTTCCACATAATTTCTTATATACTGAAAGCTACTTCTAATTACGCTCATTGTTATATATAAAATTATTTATATAAACATCTTATTGTTAACAAAAATTTGTGTATAATAATTTTGAGAACATTTATTTATTTTTTCACAAAAATGTGATGTACTCGTGTGATTTTATACAATTGAGTTTATTTGCTAATGTTATAAATTGATAGTTTATCCTATCATTAAATGCATAATAATTCTTATTAAAACAATCTTTTACAGATCTCTACATATAGATTTTTTGGATAATATATATTTCTTCTATCTTGTAGATAGATATAATATAAAATCGTTTATTTTATTGAATCATACTGTGCAAAAAACAATTCGTTTAACGAAAACTCCAGTTGTCTTTATTAAAACTTTCACACTTTGTTTTTTTTTATATGTATATACATAGTATTTCCTCGCTAATAAAAAGATTTTTCATTTCATTAGAAAATTCTCCTTTTATTTTAAAACTGCAACTCTGGAGCATTATCTGACATCATTAAAACTTTAATGCCAAAAATTCTTATTTGCTCTTATTCTCATCTCATTCGTTGTTATTGTCATCTCCTTTTCATTTTCAACAAACTGCTGCAAAGGTTTATGACACAATTTCTGTCCTATATAAGTTAAATGAGTTTGCTACTAAACAGAAAGCAGCAATTCTAAGCACTTTTCTGTTAGTGAGGAAATATTATATATGTATGAATGTGTGTGTATACGTATAATGTTTACATGATCGAGTATTAAAATCGTTGGTATAATTATACCATTCCATTATAAATATATTTATCAATATTATCGATCTGTGCACTGAGCAAACAAGAATGAATACAAGATACAATTGCTGTATGTAAAATTGCCGATCGTCAGAAGGAATAAACGAGTCTTTACTCGTTTTATCAAGTAATAATATTACACACTTGTTGTTGACAAAGTTTTAGGATTGGATGGCACTAATAAATCCGTGTCAAACTTCTAATTAGATATGCTGCTTTATGGAGCAGCTTCTAATCTTCTTATTTCTTTGGAAACCTCCGTTTTTCGTGCCACTTTTTCAAGTATCTCCTTATCAGGATTTTTCAAAGCACCAGTTTTGATTTTTTCCTCTAACATTTCAATTTCTCTAATCTTTTTGCGCAAATTCTTTAATCTCTTTTGTGGATCAGTTGTCGTTTTCTGTGTAGTGTTTGAATTGTCTTTAACTATATTGTTTGTTGTAGTTTGTTTTGCAGCGGATAATGGCTTATCATTATTATGAGTTGAGACTTCTTTATGAAATTCGGGCTCTGAGATCGATATTTTAGACAATCCTTCAGCGACAGGTTCAACTGCTTTAGACTTGTTTTTCTTTTTCTTCTTTTTGGACCCCTCTTGCGTTTTTGCTTGCGTACCAGGTATTATTTTATTCTTCCCTGCTAGGGCCTCTAACTTGGCTTTGTGCTCGGCTATAAATTCTGGGCTAGCACCCACTGGATATAAAGGTTTCTTCACCAATTGCTTTCCTTTGCTTTCATATCTATAAAAGAAATAAGATAAGAAATAAATATAAATTGACAAATATTGAAAATATCGAAAAATATTAGGAGACATACAATGGAACTTCTTCTTGAGGAATATATCCATCCTTTACGCGCCGTTGTTTACGCCATGTACCATCGGGTCGTTGGCTTGCTGGGATAAATGTACCTAAAAGTAATAATCATATATTTTAATCGTGATAATATCGTGAGTATATGTACACAAAATGCATTAACTTTAGACAAATATATTAATTAACATTTATAATTGCATACAGAAATATTTGAAGTGTACTAAATAAAAAAAAAGAAATCTCCTAGAATTAATATATTCGCAAGTGTGTGCGAGGATCCTAGTACAGGAATCATTTCAAAGACATGTCACGGAGTTTGAAATATGTGAAAGTTTATCAAGATTGATTATACAACTGTTGCGCATAGAAAAGAACAATTTATTATTACACGAAACTGTTGGTTTTTACGCTTGTTTACGCATGTTCAAGGTTAGAACCGGTGTGTAATCGAAGAGGTAATTACGAACGCGATACAGTGAATAATTAATCGTTACCAGTCTCGTCCTTGATATAAGTTGACGCCATCGCTGTGTCCCCCGAGAACGAGCGCGTCCGTGAAAAAAATAAATAAATGTAAAAAATATTCGACTATCCGCGTGCCATCCTGCGCGATTATGTATTGCACGGAATTGTATACCGAATCTCCAATGAGATTGGTGTGAGTGTATGTGTATATCTGTACATGGTTTGCGATCGCGGTCAACGTACTTCGTACACTGACAGATGTCGCGCACGTTGAATGCAAGCGCGTTGCATTTCGTATGCATTATTTTTAGTATCAACAGATGTCGCTGGAAGTTCAATTATGTTAGGCGTTCCCGCGCTTTCCCCGCACGAGTATCTAATTGAGCTGGTTAAAAAACGGACGCTCTATTTCCTTAATTACGCAGGATATAGCAGAGATTGAATGTCGATGCGCTTGTTTTCCGTTCGCAAATTACTAAAGGTATAGTCGATCTTTTCTTTGACGCGAATTTTAACCAACTCTAACTTTTTATACTTTATGTATATGTATATATATATATATATGTAGCAGTTTTGGCAAATTTTTTTCAAGATGGAGAAGTGTGGACTTTCTTTTGCAAAGAAATTGTAAGAAAATATAGTTGAATGCTATCGAAATTATTCAAACTATTTGTTTGTTCTAAAAAATGACATCTTATTACACATATAACGATAATATTAATAAATATGTATATAATGAAACACATACATACATATGGTATTATAAAATCTATATGTATAACAAAAGAAAAATATTGGTAAGATATCTATTAGGATAACCATTATTCAACTTTATGCAATATATAAGATGGTTACTTTTTCTTAAAAAATTAAAAACACATATTATATTGACAACATTTTATTATACTAGAAAGTTACTCTGCATAATAATTTTAGAAAAAATCTGTGATATATATAGATCGAGGACTTGTGTAAAAAAAATTTATAAATAAAGAATTAAATTTAAATCATTTAACATAGAATATATGAAAGTTTTAGTATTTTCCATAAATAATATAATCTGTACTTTTACAGGACGATACAGTACACAACGAGTGGGATTAAGAAGCAGGGACGACGCACGAATATCTCGACATCGACTCGAAGAGTATAAGCGATCCCGAGGGTTACCCTTTTGATCTAGCCGGGCTGCTTCCGCGTATTCCGGGGATGCTGCGCGCGCGCACGGAGGGTTGCGCTCCGCGGTCTCATCTCGCAGTTTCGCAGCCTCCCTTTCGCGACCCGTATCAGGTCTACCACGGCTCAATCGGAGGTGCGTGCCAGTAATTTCCCGTAATTTCATCGTCCTGGACAGCCGGGACAGGAGGCACTTGGCGTCCGATCGTTATTGCTGAGAATCCCGGACCCGGTTTTCGGGTCCGGTCTCCCTCGTCCGGGTCACGCTCGATTCGGATGCATCGCTCTGCGTCGGAAAATGGAAACCGTAATTGGTACGTATGCCGCATCACAAATTCTCGTCGTAGATTACAAATTTCTCATTTCTTGTACGATAATGGAATATGCGAGATTCGATTAAACGTTATAACTAATTGTCTCCGGATGCGTTTCTCATTTGCATGTCGCTTTTAAAGGTCACCGGATGATACGTGAAAAGATGGAATCGTGCGGTGCGTATCGTTCGATAAAAGTTCAAAGGCTCTAAGGTCAGGAATAATATAGCGTATCAAGTTGTAAAACTTTTCGTTTACGATGCCTCCCGTACAGGAAATCTTACTTTGACCTACGTAACTATCGTTAAGCGACAATCGGATTCGTCTAAGTAAAAGTTCATAGCGGTTAATCGATGTAAATATATTTTTTTTATTGCATTGACATAAATTTACATTTAACTTTGTTTTAATGTTTGGAAGGTATGTGAAAACGCGAAGATTTATTGATCGAGGAAAACGTTAAAACAAATTTGTAAATGCAAATCGAAATTTTAATTCAAAATTCAAATCAATTTTATTTTTATTTAGTTTCATGTTAAATTTAAAACACTCACGTGATTAAAATATTTTCGAATAATAGAATATGATTTTATTTTAAAAAAATACATAAATTATGAAGATTAATACTAGAATAAAGATAAGTTTCTTAAATATTTCTCTCCTCAAACATCCATAGTCAGGATAATATTTATCGAAGTAAATGCACTTTCTTTTCTAAGAAATCTATAGATAATCGAGATAATATTTATCGAAGCGAATGCACTTTGAGTACTTGAACGATATGCGGCAGATTGCAAGTAAAATCCAGTTCTATCCATAGTTGCATTCTATTTTTTGACAATTAAAATTGTGCGTATATATAATTTAAAATTTCTGCTACGTTTAGGCTATTATCAATAGAAAAAATAATAATTTTTATGCAACAGTATGATCACAATTTACATATTATATATGTTACAATATAATCTCTGTCCACTAGACTATAATTTATCTATGCTTTAAAAAACGTCGTGTCCTCTTCTGTATTAATAAATTTAACAACTTTGTAAAAAATCAGAATAATTTGAAAAGTTGAACAAAAATGCAATATCGATTTTTTAAAGCAGTGATTTACTTAAAACGTAGGACTATCGGGAAATATATAGTAATATGGAATTTCAAATTGAAATAGCAATGGGAGATTTAACATTTTAAAGCAACAAGAAAAGAGAGTAGCAATAGAACAATATAGTTTTCCACAGCATTTTATTGAGATTATATTACATATATTTGCACACATATAGGGGGAAAAAAAAAACAAGGAGGGAAAAAGAGTAATAAAGTAATAAATAAAAGAATAATAAATAAAAGAGAATCCGTCAACATCTATTTATAATACTTTTCTATTATCATACTTGTCATTGGGACAAAAATGGTAGCGTCTAAAAATATCTCTGAAATGTGTAAATTGCATAAAATAGTATATACAATAAGATAACAAGTGAAAAATGCGTAAAATTTAATTTTTAGTTCCCAATTGTACTTTTCCAACGATTAATCGAGACGAGACACCAGAAAAGCAATTGGTATCTCGAAAGTCGTCGTAAAAATTTTAATAACGTAATCGTTGTCGCGCTTACTGGATGCATTATGATCATTCGAGAGTTAAGACAGGGGGATCGAAAGGAGAGCTTGCCATGACGTGATGTTGAACGGCTTCGCCCAAACTGCGGTCCTGGACCTTGCAACCTCCTCCTTCTCCTCCTTCCCCCCTTCCCCTCCCCTCTCTCCCATTCCCCTTTTCATCGGACATTGCACCGATGCAGACGAGGCGTATGAGAAACGGCCGTCTCGCCAGAAGACGGGATCGTCACTCGCGGGAAGAGAAGGCGGCTTATGACGATCGAGACGACGCGCCTGCACCGCCCCATTCTCCCATCTCTAGGACCACAATCTTTCTCGCGAAACGAGAACCAGCCCCGGGAAACTTACGTAACGATTGGGGGACGGCATCTCGTATACGATTACAGGGACGCGATTTATCCTTTACCAAAATTCCAAGCAGGACGCGAAACTGTTCGACGAGAGTTCGTCGACAAGATACGAGCAGAGATCTATCAGAGGGCTCTAATCGTTAACCGAAATTCTTAAATTTAGCATCTCAGTAACACTTAGTAATAGACTTATAATTTACATACTTACACATTTTCTTATGTACGTACGTACTACTCGATATATAGCGATGACTTCGATTTTCGCTTCATCATCGCAGAGTCCTGAATAGAGGTAATAACCGAAGTGTTACGAACCGTGCGGCGAGTAAGCGCGCTTAACGCTAGATTGAACTTTATCCCTGTGCATACCTTGCCCCCGTTGCATAGAATGCCGCGATACGCTACACAGCATGCACTTTACAGCGAGACGCGGCTCCGTCAAATAGGCCACGACGATGTATACATATATCGCGCATGCACGACGACATTATACGCGCCACACGGCGTATCGAGTACACATTGAATATCGCTATCGCGATGATCGACTTTGCACGCATAAGATCGTCGGCCGGGATTTTACGGCTTCTGCGACAACGTTGCGTACACAGTTGGAAAATTTGGCTTAAACTTAATATATATATATTAATATAATATATATGCCTACACAAATTTTTGTGTTAATTTAACATAATACAGAGATGTTACAAATAGTGACACTAATACTACGTTAATATTTCAACACAAAATGAATGCAAACTTCATAGTAATTCGAAATAAATTTTATGTTAAATCAATATATTTTTAATGATAAAATTAACTTAGCAAAACATAAATTTTTCAATTGTGTATGTATCAATTGACATAATGGTCAGCCTTCTATGAAGAAACGCATACAGTAGATATTTCGATATCTCAAAGCGCGATTATGTCCATAAGATGTCTCGAAACTTCTCGCAATTTGGTTTCTTTAGATTATTCATATTCAACTTTGTCAGGTAACAAAAGGGAGAACGATTATTATAGAAGATTATTATGTCGAAACTTTCATTGTTTGACAACTCTGTAAAGTTATACCTCAAGTATATATATTATTAATTATATATATTATATAAATATATAAATATATATATATGTATATATAAATAATTAGATTTCTTTTATGTTGATAATAATATTAACGTCGGAGAAAAGCTATTTATATGATACGCAAAAAATATAATGATACTATTTCTAGAAAGTTGGGCATACATTGCACTTTCAATTATACTTTCTTTTCCCTGATAAAGTATGATATAGTCACGGCCAATATATATATAATAGTATAGTTGAGTTCATAACTGTCTTAAATTAATTAATTTACTCATTGATTATGTAATATCTCAGACAGGATGCATATCTCAAAGGCAGAATAAAGAAACATCACCACGTATTTAAAAAAAAACAACTCATATCTTTATTACATATCTCTTCATGTAAGCATGATTAATAAATTTTGCACAAATTTAAAAAAGAATTAAAGTTTTCCACATCTATCACAAATTACCGTACATTAATTATATGTGATTTAAAAAGTATAATCTCTCTCTCTTTTTTTTTCTTGTTTTGATACCAATTATTTTAATTATATCTAAAAACAAAATATTGTTACAGTAACGCATCAAGATCTGCCAGAAAAAGGAGAATGAACTTTTCACACGCGAATAACATTTACGATGGCCGTGCAAACATCGAGAAGACAAATAATAAGAACGAGAAAAAGGGAGTCAAGTAAATAACAGATAAAGATTTCAACCTTAAATTTTTTCAACATAATTTACCATTTGTCTTAAATGTATTATCGGTAGCTGAAGGAAAATAAAGGACAAAAATCGCGAGAGTGGCATTTTCGACAATGTAAAGAAAGGATTGAGACAGATTTATCTCTTTATATCGCCATGTTCTTATAACACGACGTTTGATGATATTGCTATTTGAGGCAAAATAGAATGAGTATCCGATACGCTAGCCTATCGTAAAGGCTCGTTACAGATGAAATGACGTGTTTGAGCAATCGTATGCGTATATGTATAACAACGTAAAACTTACACATATACATGTTTACAATACATATTAATCGAGCAATTTCCATGCATCTCTCGCAATGCTCTCATCTCCGAAACGAAAGAGAGAGAAAGAGAGAGAGAGAGAGAGAGAGAGAGAGAGAGAGAGAAATGAAATCAAACGCGATAAATTGATATGGAATCTAAAACATTAGAACTAGACGCAATAATAATGTGAAAGAGGAAGAGAAAGAGAGTAAAAGAGAAGACATAATGATCGTAGAACCAAGTATACAACATAGACCGGCCGATTAGTTTCATCCTCCTAATCGATACGGAATTCGTTTAGCCGGCAAATATCCCGGTGATGTATCGTCAAGCACGAATGAAATGGCAGAAACGATGGAACACAATCGTACGAGGTACGCCAAAAGGACAGCTAGGAAGCTGAATCTCACGTCGATGACGTTCCTTCCTTCCACCGTGGTCGCGGCCGCGATTAACGCCGAGACGACGATACATCCGACTAATCCGTCCACGGTAGCGACAGACGATCCTGCAGCAACCGTCACTACCGTCAAATCTTCTCATCACGTCCATAACACGACGGAATACCTGGTCGAGCATGATGAGCTGGAGCATAGTAAGTAGTGCGTTATTATGAGAGAAGGTATATGAATGCTCAATGAGAAGCAGCGGCGGTTTTACGCGGACTTTTAATTAGTTATGCATTTTAAAGATTGAAATAGTTGACCCAGCCAATGAAGAAAAAACTAACATATATATTAAATTTAATAATCAATTTTCTCGTAACGAGAATTTGACGATGAAAATGCTTGATCTTCCAAAAAGTATGTGACAGAAACAAATATGTTCTCTCTCTAGCTATTGTATTTTTCAGGTTTATTATTTTTTTAACTTTTAATTCTTTTGTTCGATGTACACATTTAATTTATTGTTAAATGTTATGTTAATTGTAAATATATATTCCTCGGGTAAAAGAATTATTTGTCATTCCGTTAGAGAGGGGCTCGAGGTGAACTAAAACGTTGATGTTAAAACTTTCTATTGTCATAGATTTACGCATCTATATTCGCGTTTACGTTTCCGTTAAAATATTATGCATACGTAAGCTTCAACAGAAACAATCGTAAAAATTTCCTCACGGCCGCTGCCACGTTTCGCCAGCTAGTAAAATAATTCGAGTTATTATCGTGTTTTTGCTTCAAGAGTTTTATGATCATTATATTTCAGATATCCTCGCCAACTTTTCGGACATACAGACCGTTTTACTCGCATGCATATCGACATTATTACCGCTGATTATCGCCTTGGGAATTGCCTTTGGCGTCAGGTATGCTAACTTTGCTTATTGCGAAAGAGATCCGAAATATTGGTCGAATTATTTTTTAATTGCGCGTAGTCAGCGACAGAATTTTCTTTTTTTTTTTTTCTAACATACATCATCGTTTCGCAGGCACGTGTGGCAAAAGTATCGAAACGGCCGAGACAGCGGGCATGTCCCGGTTTTCCCCAAAAATTTACCTTGGTACAAGAGCGCGTGCAACCGCGATAGCGCAGTCGAGTTCCAGCATCAGCATCCACATTCCGGGAATGTTCCCGTTCAGACTGCCACGAGGGTTCTCTCCGCGCAGGACGTAAGTTAATGACTTTTTCACAATCCTACATATCTCCGCAAGAAAGATGTTATATAGACAAAATACCCTCGCTATCGCTCAAATCATCGAACGATCTTTTCAGATAATGCTAGAGATAGTGTGCAATGAATGAAAAGTCGTTTTTTTTAAATATAGATTTGTTTTCGTTTATAAAAATTCCGAAATATTGAGTATAAAGTTCGAAAATCGCAACTTTAAAAACTGACCCGAAAAAAATTTCTCGTGAATTCGGACAAGATATTTTCGCCTAGATCTCGCCTAGATAACGCGAGACGAAACTCGTCGGGCGAAAGGAAATTACGGTTGGGCTCGATGAGAGATGCGCGTAGTGAACTTTAATGCAATCGATACATATATACGAGCTTGCTTGATCCCCGTATGCATGCTCGATTAGCTTACATAATACGGTAACCACGCAAATACCATCGGCCTTGGTTTAAATCTTGAAGCTGTTCCGTAATAGGATACACGACGGACATTTACGGAACTCGGCCCAGATTAAGTCGCGAGGAATGCTCCAACATAACTTCTCTTCTCGCGTCGTGAATTTTTCCGGTGTGGTTACGCGAATCGAAGAAATGCACAGATCTCTCTCCCCGGAAAGGATCCGAGATGGAGCGTGCAAAGCGGACCTGGTGCGGCGATCGAGGAGCCGAAATCTATGGCTACAGACGTACCGTTATAACGCTTTGCATTTAATAGCGATACGTGTGTGTTGCGCTCATTCGTCTCGCTTAACCCTTTTCGCCGATGGACTCCTTCCGGCAAAGATCCTCGGCTAAAATACCGTAACGCGCGCGCGAGCTCATTTAAAATTCATACCTCTTGCATAATTAACTCACATTCGAAAAGTTGAACAGAAAAAATTTCATTCGCGGGCTAAATTAAAGACGAAAAAAAAAAAAAACAAACAAAAAACAATTAACGATAGTCGGAGACGACATATATTTCTTTCATAATATACTTCCAAAATTTCATCATAAATTCTTTCGAATCTAATTCCGTCATATTTGCAATCTTTGCATTTATGCGAGGGAATTGCAACAATGGATCGTCTTCACACCTCGTGCACGTGCTCCAATAAATAATTCGTGTTTATCGAGTTTACGTTTAGATCCAGTACATTAACTTTGCCCGCCAATTGACGTCGCGGTATATATTATATTGTTCGTACTGCATATTGTGCGCCGCAAGCAAGCGCTGCACACATGTGCGTGTAGGCGAAAATCGCACATTGCAAACATACAAACGCATTATACATATATACGCACACATTATTATTATTTACGTATGTGCGTATGACTCAGCTAAAAATACCGTACGTCTGGTTGGCGCGAGAACGAGTGGGACTGACCTGATTTTAATTTTGCGCATACGCGATCGCGATAACGGCCGCCTTAGCCGAATTTGTCGCGCGACGCATAATTATCGCGAATTATTTTCGTTCTATTCCGATATTGTCTCGTCGTGCAAATGCAAATGTCAATGCGCTAAGGTCAAGAAAAGAGTGCATTTCATTATAGCCTCTATAGCACGCTGTTAACTTCAACAAGATCGGCACGACATGCAGATTATAACGCAATACCGAGTATAAATAATCTATTATATCAAGTACTATATTATTGATAAAATTTTAAAATTAATATTAAAATTTTCCTCTCCCCAAAAGAATAAAAGCAATAGCAATCAGTGATATACAGTTGAGAAACGCGATTTTTCTCTAACAATATTTAACAATATTTAAGATTAACTATTATAAATTGTAAGTAGTAGAATGAAATTATGTCTTTCTTCAAAATTGAAATATTGCACAAGTTGAGCAGAGAAATATTTTTTCATTACGCAAGTTTATAACACAGTGACACTACATTGTAATGGTCAAGCAAGTTGATCAAGAAAGCTTCTCTCGTCGACTAATGAAATAATATTACTCGCCTTCCTTTCGTCCGCCTCAACCGGAGTCTGCGAAGCAAAAGGGCATAAGCGCAGACGTTGGTGAAAGTTGCATACGATGTTTGACTTTTGCAATTAAACCGGACCAGCTTTCCATGCGTGGCAATCCGTGTTTTTTTCCGAAGCGACGGTTTCATTAGTATCGCAGGTTGTCCGCCTCTCTAATTTCGCCGCTTCTTTCGCTTACTTTCTAATAAAATTGCGGTCAATCATTTTCAGCTTTCGGATGCATCAGCGCGCGATTGTCCGTTTCCACGATGCGTAAAAAATATATCTCGTGGTAGCAATGTTTCTCATTTATATAATTGCACAACTGTGTGTGTTGTAATAACGAGTATTTTTCACAATTATTTGTGATATTAAATATTAACATATATATGACACGCATTTGAAATTATAATTAAATTGAATAATTTAAATGTAAATTAATGTACTGTTTCATGAAATTAAAGCGTAAAAAGATTATAATGTAAAATTTCCCTCTTATTGTGCGCAAAATAAAATATTCACGACTAATGATAAATACTTCGCGTCATCTTAAAAATGAACAATCTTCGATGAATATACAGAAATATATAGAATCAGAACAACGCCGATGATCACCGCGGCTCTGGTATAGTCTTCATCATCAAATAAAAAATTTATCCCGCGAATCAAGATTGAAACGTACTCGGGAACCGAGTAAAACGGACCAGCGGAACTTTCATTGATCACACGTGTCTCTACGGAATTAAATGCACTCGAGAAGCGACCAAAAGCGAAGCTGCTGAACAGCGAATGGACGATTCAAATTAATTCAGGGTGAACAGTTCTTCGACGAAAGCAGAGAGGAGTAGATTTGATGTCGATGTTTTTATAAGCGTCATAGCAATGCATTCTTCCAATTATTCACGGTTATTTTAAACTCTGCGTTTTATTCTAAGTTATCTCTCTTTGTATTATTTTGATTAAAATGAGGGAAGAAAAGAGAACATCTTTTTCGCAATTTTAGAAGCAAACTTATATTCACGTACAAATATATCTCGATTTCTTGAAGCCGCTCAGATGCTGCGATTCTACCGATGAATCAAAATTAATCGCAAACTTTGCGAAAAGATGCACAAACACAGAGCATTTATTTATATTTAGATACATATATATTGTCACTTATTGACGATAGTATCTTCATTTTGACGTGTTTCACGTACATCACTATTTTACTATTTTGTTTAGCACTATTAAAGTTCACTTATTGCATTATTGGCACGCATCACAAAATTTTATAGTACCACCTTGGTTTTTATTATTATACAAGTGTGCAATGAGAGAAGATGCAATTCTAATAACTATAAAGAAATGGTGTTTTTTCAGATATAAAATAGATATAAAAATGAAATATTTCCATCTCAATACACAAAAGAGGCGTAATTTACTGTGTAATATATACATGAATTCTATCGAGATGGTTTTTCTATGAAAATAATTTCTACAACCAAAAGCAACAAGTGCACGATGGAAAGACTTTTCGCGTATATTTTTGTAGCCTTATGTTTTAAAAAAGGAAAAAGCAAAGGTGTTAAAAAATTTTTTTTTTTTTTTTTAATTACATTCTGAATATTAAATTTTGACCCAAGTAAAGTGTTCCCGATGAGAACTCCGAAACAGAGTACACTTCTCACTTATTTGACTTGGCGAGAGAACTTGGGAGATTTCGCGTTCCTATTTTCCGCAACTCGCACTACATTTTCCGATAATAGTAAGCCGCCAGCGGCTCTCCCTTGTCTATGCCAGTCGCTAGTTGCTCGCGTAGTACTCGGTAGTGGGGGGTACCGCGCGCCTTCTTAAAGCCTTGCGGTTTTTTCAAAAGCACCGCGCTACCCCCACTGTTGTACATTCTAGCCCCCCCTACTCGTCCGCTCTAACGCTTATGCGTATCCGCGAGGACTTGCATTGCATCCTCGCACCACCTATAAATCGCGCTTTCCCCTGCATACCGCCTCACCCCCGCGCTCCATCTTTCCCTCCCTCTCTATCTCTCTAGCAGCCTGCGTAGCTGCTCTCTCGCCTCTCTCATCGTTGCACCTCCGCGCGATCTTCTCTCTCTTTCTCTTCAAATATACACACATCCATACATGCACGCTGCACTCGCTTCCGCACGTCTCTCGTCGCTTCTTGCCTATGCATCTACATTCTGCGCGTCACACACGCACATACACACGCGTCTCTTTTCTTCATCTTCTCACTTTTGTCAGAGAACTTTTTGCAATGAGAATTCTTTCGATTCGATATTAAATAATTTTTAAAAACTCGAAGCAATTTGCATTTCCAGAGACTCTTTATTTGGAAATATTTGTATAAAAGCGTGATCAGCCAATCACATTAAAATATATTTTAAATAATTAGCGCAATGATTATTTTTAGCTGTAATTTTTGCTCGCATTCTTTATTCCGAGATGCAAACGCGTTGGTTTCATTCGACGCGCGAGAAAAAAAAGAATAGGTGAAAAAGGAGAAACCTTTTATAAATACTTTTTGAATACGGGCTTTGGATTTCAATAATCGTTGGAATGATCGTTGTACTACATGTGCAACATGTGCAAATGGCTATACAGCGATAGCGACAGAGCGCCGTGAAAGTGTGTCATTGTTTACGCATAGTCGGTTTGCGCTGCAACTCGTGTGTCGATACTTTTTTTTAGCTTCAACTCGTCGGTTGGTTTAGTACTGTCGCGATATTTTCAGATACGCGTTAAAGAGATGATAAAGAGCGCTAGATACTGAGAAATGATTCATTCTCTAATTCAACACGTCGCACACATATTTTATTTTTCTCTTCTATATCTATTTAGTGAAAATCGATTTATTCGCCGTTTATTAATCTTATTTGAAGACTTTTCTATAAATTCTATAATATTGTTATTCTATAATATCATAATAATATCGTTATCCTTGTTTCATGTAATCGAATCTATTCAGACGCGTCGTGTTTATGTTTACCTTCTACGTTCTCGTTGTCTATCTCTGTTTATTTTTCTTATGTTTTTTCTTTGCTTTTTCTAATATTGTCGAAGTTCCTTTTCATGTAGTCAGTCGACAACGAGTCTCGGAAGGAATCAGACGTGAAATAAATAAGTATCGTTCTCTTGTTAGATAGTGTTAATCATTATTTTCAAACCGAGATAATCCTACAGATTTTCCTACTCGCAGAGCCATTAAAGATCCTCTTTATCTTATCAACTTTTTTTTTTTTTTTTTTTAACTAAACAATATCGCTAAATATTTATCTCTGTCGCAAGATACCTATATATAAATTCACAGTGTTGCATTTTTTGCACATTCGTCCAAGTTTCTCATTTTTATCGAGAAGTGCTTTCGTATACAAGTGTAATTGGCTATTAATTACTTCGCAGAAAACATGCGTTTAATAATAGAAAACGCGATCTTTACATTTTTGTTAATACATATACGCCAACTGAATCATCATGCAAATTCGAGTGCGATGCTAAAAAGTTTGATATCTCCGTAATATTTTTTTGCATTGCATTCACGTTACTATTGATTTAAATGAAAATTAACTGAAAATTAAATCAGAGCGAGCATTATATATAAGATGAAGGTGGCGAATTTTTTGTTCGAGTAACCACGTCTTTCCCTCTTTTTCGCTATCAAGAATAATTTTAAACGCAATATTGAAATACTCGAAAGGATCAAACTTTTTCTTACACGACACGATTATCAGTGCAATAAGCTGCACGCGGCTAATTTGTCTTTACCCTAACGTAAGTGAATATATCGAAGAACTCTCTCGCAATTAACTGCAGTATGTATTAGCTTGCATTGCGATAAGCCAAACGACTTGAAAAGAGAAGAAAAGTAATGTATGCGCCACATGCTTTCACCGTGAGTCATACTATTTATTCATACTGGCTCGAACGAACCAATCGCCTCTTGCAATCGCGAAGACGAAACTTCGTTTCAAGCGCGGGCTATATGCATATTAAACGTGTCGTTTTTGTCGAACACATACACACACACGCACACATACATATACGCGTGAGAGAAAGCGATCTGTGCTTTAAACCGTCGAATTCGAGGGATCGACGTGTAGCTCTCGATATATTCGGGATGCCGTGAAAAACTAGTCCCGATCATCCCCCTCCCTCTTCCATTCTCCGGCGAGGAAAATCACGCGCGACGCTAAAATAAAATCGGCGAGGGCGTGAAATGCTCGCGATGCCGATCTCGTGGAGGAGATAAGTTTAGGTCACCCGGCGTTATAATGCGCCGGCTAACCTTACTTTCGCATTGCTAGATTCAATTCATGCCAAGGCTGACTGGGTGCGTTGCCCTCGATTGCCCCTATGCCGTTGCGTTGGTCGACGCCGCTCGATCTTCCCCTCGCTCTTCTGCGACCGGCGCTCGACGCCGCTAGACATCGTTTGCCGCTTCTCGTAGGGAGAGAGAAAGAGAGAGAGAGACTCGACTCGACTCGAGTCGGAGTCTGGCCGATATACGGCACGCATCACTCCCCGCAAAAAATAGAATGAACCGTGTTAGCTATCGGCTATTTTAGGGATGTTTAAAAAGCTCGACGCGATTAAAGAACATAAGCGATTTCGAAGAATTCATCTTCGGATTGAAAGCAGCTTTATATTAGGATCGAGGCTGCTCTAGCAATTTGCCCTATTTATTCATCTATTTATTTATAAAACGAGAGAATCTCTCTTTTCTTTGCTGCAATTTCTTTGTGATTGCACATGCACCAGAGAAAGGAGATGGAAATATATTATATGAAGATTAAATACTATTGCTTGCTCTCCCCGAAAAGAACAATGAAAAGATAAAACGAAAAAGAAAGAAAGAAAAAACTTAATTATCGAAAACAATGAATTAATTTGCGTCTAATATTATGGCTAAGCAGCAAAAACCGGAAAAAATATTTTAGATCAAAAAACTCGTTTGTATGATAAACACAAAGATTAAATTTTCAAAAATGAATCACGACATGCATATTTTCTTAGGACAAAAAAATATACTTTTCGTGAAAGTCTCAGCTTGCATTATAAGACACGAGACGAATGTGAAAGAAAATGTTTATACTGACGATGTTTGTCGATATTCTTTGGGTGAGAAAAAAAAAGATCGCAATTTTGAATTTAAATATAAGTGGCAATGAAAATGCCCCAATATCTTATTTCTCTCAAAGGATTTTTTTCGATTGCTCATCTAAAACCCGCGTCAAATCAAGAAATTGACGAAATCTTCGTCGAATTGAAAATAGCTTCGATTAATTGATCACGAAGGATCAATTAAAATGGAGACACATTCGCGTAAAACGCGCAACATATGAGATAAATTATGTAATTTGAAGTATTAAAAGCATTATTTATCGTTCATGGGTCGTCGATGACGTTTCATATTATCGAGCATTATGCGGAATTCAATCGATTTCTAGATCATGTTGCACCGGGGATTCTTCGATATTGTCGCATATCGTGTATCATTTTCTCAATAGAACAGCCGTATCCATTCATCGCGATACGTTTATTGATAGCGAGTTATTTCAATGCATCCAACGTACACGCGCGTGTCAGGTTTGAACTAAATCTTCGATAATAACAAGTGGATTTCTCAAAAGTAGCGTCAAATTTCTTTCGTATTTATTTTTATTTAACGCAATGTTTAACGATGCATAAACTTTTCATCAACGCGGGGCGATTTTCTTAATAATATGCTTTCGATAACTAGATAAGCGTGTCTACTGCTTATCTATTTTTTTTAATTAATAATTTTTTTTTTTAATTTGATTTATTCATCTTCTTTAAAGCCCACATTTTAAGACAGGTCTCTAATTTATGACAGAATTTAGGATGGAATTCTATTTATTATTTCATGTATTGTGAGTGTATATTCTGATTTTTTAAATGTGTCTTTATTATAAATAGAATTATATCACGAATATTATAATATTATAAATCGTCTAAAAATTAATTTCTCTCTCTCTCTCTCTCTCTTTCTCATTCTCTCGTTGATCAATTCGGTTCGATTATGATACGCGATATTACGCAGATTTTTTATGCTTCGCGCAATTCCTCGCGGGTCTATCCAAGCGATTGCTTATTATTCGGCCGTACATTCGTCCATGGGTGCATTTCGCTTAACCACCCGTTTATTCGGCTGTACTTCCACATACTCGTCTCTCTCTTCTTCTCTCTCTCTTTGACCATACGCGCGGGACCGTCCGACCGACTGGACCCGCTCGTCGCGGCCGTATCGTGTCCGTGGGGTGGCTGACCTAACAGAAGGGGTCGTTGCACTCGTGCGCCTGGGTCCGCTTTCACCCTACCACGTCTTTCTCTTTCTCTCTATACTTCTCTTTTGGTCAGCCTCGCGCGCGCCGGCGGACCTATCCTCCCATCGCATCTCTCTTTCACGCATCGCGGATACGATATGACTGTTCTTTCCTCCATTCCTCCTCTCCCTCTTCGTCCTGACTTCTTTTTCTTTTTCTTTTTTTATTATTATTCTTCTCTTTCTTTAATTCCTTCACTCTGTGCGGTTCTCTACTCTTATCCTACATA